CATAAATTATTAGGCAATTTAGCATTAAGAAGCATAGAGTTAATCATATCGGTAAAGATTCTATTCTTTCTTTCAGCCAGTCCATTTTGTTGAGGAGTAAAAGGGGCTGACTTTTGGTGAATAATTCCATGCTCTTCACAGAAAGCATCAAATTCATTTGAGAAATATTCACCACCTCTATCACTTCGAACCATTTTGATCTTCTTATCTTTTTGGTTCTCAATTTCAGCCTTATAAATTTTAAATTTATCAAAGGCTTCATCTTTTGTTCTAAGTAAATACACATAAGTATATCTAGAACAATCATCAATAAAAGTGATAAAATATCTCTTTCCTCCTCTAGTTAAAATTCTATTATACTCACAAATATCGGTATGAATCATATCCAATATTTGAGTATCACGTTCAGCTCTAGGAAAAGGTTTCTTAGTCATCTTTGCTTGTATACAAATTTCACACTTATCATTTTTAATATCTTTGCAAGTAATCAAACCATGTTAAAACATGTATTTCAAAGATCTAAAATTTAAGTGTGCTAAACGTGCATGCCAAACATCAAAAGAATCAACAATATAAAAAGAATTCATATTATCTTTATTATTAACACTTAGTTTGTACATGTCATCACAAGAATACCTCTTTCTCACAAAGATCTCATTCTTAGATACAATACAATTATTGCCCTCAAGTACAATCTTAAGCCCATTCTTACACATAAGACTAGCGGATACAAGATTTTTCCTAATATCAGGAACATGAAGTACATTGTTCAATGTAAGCTTCTTTCCGGAAGTAAAGTTAATCTCCACCACTCCTCTCCCGGCAACCATCGCTGCATCATTGTTCCCCATGAGAACAGTTTGTCCTTCCTTTTCCACTTTGTAAGATAAGAACATAGTCTTGTCATTACAAACATGGATTGTGGCACCGGAATCAAGCCACCAATCGGAGGATTTAAATGCAGCCATGTTAGTTTCGATAATCATGCCAATTTGTAATTCCGAGACCATAGCACATATGTCTTCAGATTTCTCTTCAACGGCATTGGCATTGTTGGTGTTAACTTCTTCCTTTTTCTTCTTGTATCTGCAGTCAGTTTGGCGATGACCTTTCTTTCCACAAAAGAAACAATTTCCAGAAAAAAAATTTTGGCCATTACCGGGCTTTTTGAACTTCTTGTCATTATTGACTTTGAA